TTTCTGAAGGGACCATTGGAGAATTCACAAATATATTACTAAAGCATACATGTAGCTGAGCAGAATAGCTTTAGATGTAGATTTGCAGCTTAACATGCAAGCAAAATCCCCTACTGCTTTGTGTCATCACCTGCTGGCTGTCTTTATATGCACAGACATCATCCATTTCTCAAAAGTTTTGATGTGACATGTTTAAAATGATACTCTAGTGAATTTCAGTGAACATATATTTTCAGTTGTTATTGTCCTGTTTATGTATCCTTTCAATTTTTACATGCTTGTTGCGCCCCATCTCCAATATTATATTAAATCTGGAGCTGTCAGAGGAAGGCCTGCAGTTCACTGCAGTCTCTCAGCCATGTTGATAAGCAGACAATGTTTAAGTTTGGGATAGAGTGGTAGGGGTTAACGTTTCTCTCTGTGCACCCATTGGTGAGATTTTCCTTCCATTCCTGTCTTTATGCCACCTGTACAAGAATTAGTGAAAGCAGTTGTCACAGTGACAGAAAGGGCAATGATGAATCCTTGCCAAAACTTCTAACGATTCCCTAATCTACTTAATGTGTTTATTTGACAGAGAATTAAACCCTCTCTGCTCTATCCCAAAAAAAAAGGTTTGGGCGGGAGTGGGGATTTTAATTTCTTCCACATACTGCAATGCTTTCAGTGAGTCAGATCTGACGGACATGTAAATGAAAGAGATGAAGGTGTACCCTAAGGCATGAGGCGGCAGTTTCTCAGTACAGCTGTTTTTCTGATTGCCAATCCCATGTCAGGATAAACTATTAGTTGGGGAATTGAAGCAGATATTAAGTATGATAGTAATACATATGCATGTTTAGTGCATGAAAAGCACTATGCAAATGTGCTCTGAATGTATGGTAAATATTCCTCAAAGTATTTTATTTTGTGTGTTTTCCAAGCAGTTACATGACCACTTTCTCTCATTTCCTCTGGCATCATGGCTGTAGCTGAGCGTGGAATGCTTTGTCAGGAACACCATTTCTGGAAGGGGACTATACTTCAAATCAAAGCACTTTCTGATATGTTGGGGCTGCTCCTGCTTCTGTTGAAGTAAGAGGTTGTGTGCCTAAGAAAGTCTGTAGTTCAGAACCAGCACTCAAGAAGAATAGGTGGCAACACTGTGGCTGATTCCTCAACCATGTTACAACATTGTAAGTCATGTGCAGGAAGTGCCCCAAGACCACTGTTGCTGGCAGAATCAACAGGCATGAAGAGAGGAAAGTAAAAGAAATGGAAAGATGGCATATAGTTAATTTTTTTTTCTGAAGATATGGGTAAACAACGCGATTTAACAGCCTTTGAACGTGGGATGATTGTTGGCGCTCGGAGCCTTGGAGAGAGTATCAAAATACAGCAGAATTCGTTGATTGTTCAAGAGCAGCTGTTGTTAAAGTGTTGAAAATCTGTGTCTGAACGTGCAAATTGTGGCCGTCAGCGACTAGTCAATGTTAGGGCAGAACAGAGAGCGGCAAGACTGGTACAAGACAACAGAAGGGCAACAGTGCAGTGTCAGATTCCTCACATCACCTTTCAACATCTCGTGGAGTCACCAGGCGGCCAACAAAGTTATCTCGTGGAGTCATCTCGTGGCCCAACGAAGTACTGATGGGGTGGTCATAATAATCTGGCCACTCAGTGTATATATTAGACAACAAGTGGTTAAATAGCAAGGGGAAGTTGTGGTTTCGTGAAATTATAAAACTTGGCTTGCACTGCATTAGCTAGGATTTTAAAAGTGTAAGGAATGTTTAATTACCAACTTTTGTTGGCGACATACAGTATATATCTGTTCTCCTAAAATGGCTGCTTTTTACAGTGCCTGCACTCTGCCGTCTCATTCATTCCTAAGGGTAAACCACAACTCATGGGGGCCCAAAGTTGTCACTTGGAGCAGTGGGGTGGCAATGCACAGTTAGGTGTAGACATTTTTCATAGGCTGTGCAGCTCCAAGAGGGAACGCACAGTGAAGATTGCTGTATCTGGGCTGAAGGTAGGTATTTCACCCAGTGTGACTCTTTCAGGACAGTTGTAGAACTTGTTAATAGAACACTGTTCAAAAATACAGTTGTATTTTAGTTTCAGCCCAAAATGTCTTGATTTTAAATCTTCATTTTTTGGGGGGGGGCGGGGGTTCTGTAAGGACACACTTGTCCATTAACTGAGTGGTTTATTCTAGTGTGCAAAGATACCTGAGCTGCTGTGGTTTATTGACCATAACCCACAGACTCCCCTGCCGTGCATGACTGCTGGACTGAAATACAGATATCTACACCTTGGTGTAGGTATGTAGAGAAATTATGCAAAACAACCACCTAGACAATACCATATGGAGTGTAAACAAGAGGAACAGATCTTCAATCGGGGACCTTTAACAAGCTGGTTAGAGAAGTTCACTTGGCCCTGTTAAAGGTGCAGAGATGATCTGGCAGCATCTGTTGCCTATTTGGAGGCTTTACAATACATGTGTCATGTTGTAAAGAGATATTGGTAGAGCCTGGTTATTCCTACAGCAGTGATCAGGAGCTCTTTTGTGTGTAGTTATTTTTTTCAAGTCGATTTTTTGTTGGTGTGCATGTATAGAGTAGCCTGCGGTCTGTGGTATGTTATTAGTGTGTGTATGTAATGGTGTAAAAATCCAAAACTAAAGTGCACTATATATCATTTTATAGTGAGCTTTATTAGAAAACTAAAAAAGCACTCCTGCAAAGACTAGAATTAAAACACAACTGTCCGGTTACCTGTATTCCCAATCTTCACTCTTGAGGAGCTAAGCTTACTAGAATCGTCAGCATCCAACACTTTCAAGTGTTTTTCGGATGCCTGGTCCCCTGCCGCACACAGGGCAAAGGCTTATTTAAGAAAGTAATGCAAAAATTGAACTGGAAAGTCGTCTAGATTTACATCTGAAATTATCTCAGTACTTCTCAGTGACCAGGTATTTACCAAATAATCCATCATAAATATCCATATTAGGCAGACATATATGATCTAGAGAATGGCATTCCTTTCATATGTCATGTTTTATAGCTGATTTTGTTTCTTAATTTGGACCTGTGATTAAAAAATAAGAGAACCATTTTATTGATGAGCAGAAGATGGCACAGGATCTTGTAGAATGGTACAAAACGTATTTCTATAATATAGTTTCATCTTTTGCCTTTTAATAGTGACAATCAGATTGTTCTGCATGTTGCATGCATCACTTTTCTTAATGGAGGAACACTAGGTTGCTTTATTTTCTCTAACTTCCACTAGGGTCTCACTGCGCGGGTCTGTTTAGTACTACAGTGCTCGGGGCCTCTTCAAGTGCACCTAACCTTCTGGATTATGCTCGTGCTCATCGTAAAAAGCTGACTACTTCTGGCTGCATAGATGGTATGTGCGCATTAAGTCTCGCACGCATTTTGTGGGAAAGCCACACCTCTCATCAGGAGTTCACACGGATATTTGGTGTGTTTTTTATTTTCCCCTCTACGTATTTATTACTGAGTTTTAATTTATATTTATAACATGGGCCATATTTATTTTTTCACACATTTCATACATTTGTGAAAAACAAAAAAAGTAGACAACTTTTTTTCTCGAATTAGAATGTGTTTATTATATTTCTAATTCTGCCCATTTTATTTATACTTTTTGATTTCATTTATTTATTTATTTTTTTAAGTTAATGTGACCCTAGAACCAGAGTAGCCAGCTTTCCTTGTGGAATCTCTAAAGTATTTCTAAACTGGGATTGAACAAGTATGCTAATTAATCCAAGTACGTTTCTTTGCTGTGGAGTGCACTGCATGCTGCTAAATTTAACAGGTTCACACACGGGGGTTCCTTTATCGCCTCTTTTTTTTCTCCCCGTTTGGTAGCGCTTATGAATTTCAGGTACCTCTTTTTCTCTTTCTTAGACTCCACACGCAGCTCTGCTGTTAAAAGGTTTTCTATCTCATTTGCTCGACACCCAACCAATGGTATGTTTTGTTTATTTTAAATGATACCCCGCGCTCCATTTTTTTTCCATTTGGTTTTTCAGACATGGGACGCAAATTTACTTCCCTACTTTTGATTAATCATAATTTCATTGGCTTTCACATTTCACTTTTTTTCCCAAAGTAGTAATTTTTTTGTTGTCATGTTCATATATATTGTGAAAGTTTTAACGGAAATTTTATCAGTCATTATGGTCGGTACACAATTTTAAAGAATCACGGTTGAGCACTCCTATATTTTTTTTCTTATTTATTACTCCATAAGGTTTGTTCTCAAAACTACTTGTTATATGGGATTCCACATAGGTGTTTAAATAGTTTTTAAATGCAAAATGCTGGCATTATGTTTAAAAAAAAATGATCAGCATTTTGCATTTTAAGTGAATGTTAATTGTCATTTTAATGCTGTAAATAAAATATATTTAGGAATTGTAAATCAAGTTTTTGTCGGGATTTTTTTTTAGGACTATTCAGTGCACTCTGCCGAGCAAAAAAAATTGAATTTACTCTTTTGGGGCACTTATTTTTTCCCCTAAAGGCTTGCAAAAAAAAATCTCAAAATACTGTTAAAATCATAAGACATTTTCCATATTTTTGAACTCCTTGCTAAATTATTAGTAGTTCCTAAAGTATTTTTTTTTTCATTAGAAAATAGAATATTGGTCTGCTTTGCTGCATTTGCATTCTGGCTGTGATTTGAGTTTTCCCTTTTTTCAATATGGGAAAAAGTAATATTGCAGGTGCAAACCTAGCAATAACAGATGTAAAGGTAAGTATACAGCAGTAACGGCCAAGGCAGTTTTTGAAAAGTAGAAATTACTAGTGCACTGCCTTGTACAGGTTTTGTTGTTTTGCATTTTGGTACTGTTTGTAAAATAACAATACCAATCATGAAATTATTAAAAAACATGTTCTTTTTCTTCCCAAGTACATATGTTTGTATACCCATCTCAAAATCAGTAATGTCTATACTCGAATGTCTTTATTTTTCAGGGTTTGAACTGTACTCCATGGTGCCTTCCATATGTCCATTAGAGACTCTCCACAACTCCTTGTCTTTAAAGCAGGTGGATGAATTCCTTTCTGCAATCGCAACTCCAAGCGACTGTCTTCTGGATACTCCCACTGCTTCCCCATGTAGGCCATCTTTTTTTATTATACTTGTTATTCATATTTCTGTTTTTGGATGTCCCAACATATTTTGCAGCCAAGGATAGCATTTGTAATCGCAGGACATTAGAACTCTTGGTCCCAATTTCCTACTTTGTTTACTCCCAATTTATAACCTTGTCCCCTCCCCCACCACTTGACTTCCAGTGGCTTCTGCAGAAGTACATTTTCGTGATAATCCCATAATCGTCCTACAGCATTTACCTGTCACCTACCCATTTGTGGATTATTCAAAGCGCTAGTGATCCAACAGTAGATAAAAACCCTGATTTATTTCACTTACAGTTCCAACACGTGTATTGCGGTTTTCTGCTTTAAAAATGAAAGGTGCTCCTGTTTGGGCAAATAACGAAAACTTATTTATTCCGTTTCCCATAAAGGGAGTTTTTGAAGCACTGGAATGAAATCTGGCAAAGGGTACTTTTGAACCATATGCTAGGAAGATATTAAGCATTTTAAGGCATGGTAACGTCTGCAATAGGTTTTGTTATATTAATATTTATAATTTAGAGGATTTTTATTAATTTTTTTCGATGATGGGATGGATTCCCTTTTTAAATGTATATTATAGTTTTGTAAAACAGTCTGTCTGAATTCTGTTCAAGGCTGAAAATGTGAATTTTTAATTTTTTTCTCTTTAAAGGTACACCTGGTTTTTATAGTCATGTTGGTGGCAGAAAGGTATCCTTGAATACATATTCACCAACGAAAATACTACCAACACCATTGTTTCCAACTATGGACGTTACCGATGCAAGCGCTTCTACTCAGCGTGAGTTGTCTTACCCAAAGCCATTTAAGCTACAGCTATGTACATCTAAAATTGTGCTGATACGTTTACATACCCCTAGCAGGATTTCTAATGTAAACCATTTTATAGGAAAATATGAACACTTTTCTTTTTATTGAGATTCAAATAAAAAAATGTTTAAGCATTACTGAATGGCTGTAATAAGCTCTATTTAAATGCTAGCAAAGTCTTAGTTCTCATTAGGGTTGCACCGATACTCGTACTCACCCAAATGCTCCGATACCTGCCCTGATATCGAAACTTCCTCTAACAGTCAGTGCCGCGAGGGAACATGGAGCCAGCTTCCCGGCCAATCATGAAGCTAGGTGGTGGGGAAAGACTCGCTGTCCGGCTTCCTGATTGGCTGGGAAGCCGACTCCATGCTGTTTGGCCAGCTTGATACTGATTGGCCGGGAAGCGGCTTCCCAGCCAATCATAACGGAGCCAGCTTCCCGGCCAATCAGGAAGTCAGGAGGAGGGGATTGACTTGCCTCCCGCCTTCCTGATTGGCCAAAGAGCTGGCTCCATTCTTTTTGCCCGGTAGCCAACTTCCCAGCCAAACAGCAAGCTCGATGCCAATTGGCTGAGAAGCTGGCTTCCCAGCCAATCCACATCGAGCCGGACAAACAGCATGGAGCCGGCTTCCCGGGCAATCAGAAGCCAGGAGGCAGGTAATGACACACTGCCTGGCTTCCTGATTGCCTGGGAAGCCGACCCATGCTAGCGGAAGTACCGGTATCGGCAAGTACCGAAATATAAATATCAGTACTCGTAATCCAAAAAAAACTGGTATTGGTACATCCCTAGCTCTTAATATCGTATATTGTCCTCTTTATTAGTGGTCATTTATGATAGAATGAGGACCTTTATTTTCTCATGTGGTGAAGATCCCCCATGTTTTTAGCAAAAAAACCTACAGGTCCTGTAAATTCTTTGGTTGTCTAGTATGAACTGCATGTTTGAGATCTCCCCAACGTGGCTTAATGATGTTGAGATCAGGAGACTGTGATGGGCACTCCAGAACCTACTTTTATTCTGTAACAGCCACTGAAGGCTCGACTGGGCCTTATGTTTTGGATGGTTTTGACCATAAAGTTCAATTATGGTCTCATCACTGCAAATGATTTTGTTCAATAAGTTTTGAGGCTTATGTATTTATATTTATAAACACTATTGTACATGTGCTGCGTGTTTCCTTAAAATACTTGGATCTTCTGCCAGACTTTTATTGCTGTGTGTGACCATGGTGATATTTACCTATGCCTATTCTCTCTCTCTGACACATAAGCAAGTATTGAGGGAAACTGACCTCTCTGGAACAGGAAGATACAGACTGTAATAAAAACAGAAATTTGAACCCTTTCTCTTTTATATGTATGTAGTTGTAGTTGCCTCTGCCAGAGAGATGCAGTGGAAAGTCTCCCTATTGGGGATATAGACAGGTGTGAAAACTTGACAGCTAATATAACCCTTCTAGGGAGTGCATGGAAGTGTGATAGCTGTAACATGCACTTTTGAGCATTTTGTAGCCTTTGGCTTTGCTTAATGCCTTTACAATGTTGTCAGAATTATTCCTGCAAGCAATCATTCCTGGTTCTCAAACACTCATATTGTCAGTGTGTCATTGAGCAAAAACTGTACAGCCAATGTGCTGATTTTGATGATAGTTGGTAAATTTACCTGTTTGTGAAGAGAGACGTTATACTTGGAGAAGGCGTTATGACCACAAGTTGTGGTGATGATTTTGTGTTTCATTTCTTATATTAGATGGCGGTGGAGCATCCAACACCATAACTAACCTTGTCCAAGAGGACAAAGAGTCCACTGAGGTCAAAGCAGAAAAGCCTCTACCAGAACAAGGTGGCTGTCTACAAGCAACGCTGAACCTTCACCCATAATTACTTGCACTGCTTTAAAACTGGAGAGTGGGTTTACTTAAACCTTGTATCTATATGCAACATATTTAAAGGTTATTTTTCTACTGTAGTCCTAGTTTGTATATACAGATAAGACAGATGAATTGTACATAAAGTATTTTGTGTTTACATTATACTTCTGCTTATTGTTAAACTGGACCCACTTTTAACATGTGGCAATACAAGTTTAGAAACATTACTGCTTGTTAGGCCTGAATCAGACAAGGTAAACTGTAACCCAACATCAAGGGGAAAAAGCCTGCCTACAGAAAATTGTAACAATTGTATTGATGCAATTATGCACATGCTTTATCAATACAAGCTATGATGAATGTTTCTTTTTTTTTTTTAAAGCATAGTTCTTTGCTAAAAAAGGTGCTGTTTAGAATTTTCAGCCTTTATACTGACTTCCCTTAAAGTCTGATTTTAAAGGGGAAAAAAATCAATTCTTGCTATTTGCTAAAGTATTTTTTTGTGCAGTCGTCTAGGCTCCCTCAACTATTTGTAAGTGCTGGTCCTCAAGTGTCTAATGTATTCACTCTGTTCCTAAGACTGCTGTTTGTCTCTTTCCCTTTTTGCTACCCACCTATGTGCTTTTACTATACCTCAGTCACTGTTTAGCTATACTATTGTGACCATCACTAGCTCCTTTTTATCCTTATGATTTAAAAAAATCAACAAAATATTTGAATAATCACTTTAGGATTTGCACATTGCCAATACGAGACATAATACTGTAGTCCTTTACTGAAAACTGCTTGATGCATGTTATTTAAACGGTGGTCAATCCCTCTGATTCTGCTGTCTGTAGTTTCTGACATCAAAGAATAGTCAGATGGGCATATCTGTTGGGCGATTGCACATACATTATGTTTATGCTGGAGAGGCAGGAGGGATAGCTGTTGTCAGACATCTCCAATGTCAGCATATCAAGGGGTAAAGGCAATTGTTCTAAGAGACGGAATCATTTTTATTCCAGGGATGGCTGGCACTACTTTTAAACATTGGATTGTCAGTCAGTCTAAATGAAAACAGTTGGTTTGCTCTACTGTCATTGCATTTCTATAGGTACCTTTTGGTAATGCTTAGTGCATATTGAGTACCATTACCATGGAGCTTCATCTGCCCACACAGCATGTCCGATCCATACGCTGCTTTAGGAAATGAGCAAAACCCAGGCAGAGGCTGCAAGATAATGAGACACAGACGCGAGAAGCACTTAGCATGGAACATTCAGCCTTCAGTAACAAGATGGGTGTTATTTATAGATTCATCTCACCATTCTACTGAAAAGCTTTGTTGGAGCTGCATTTAAAGCTGGCTACTTAATATTTTTTTATAAGAGAACAGCATGATTCATAAATATACACATGCGCTTGCACACACAGCTGTTCAAGTACTTAGGGATGGCCCTTCCTGCACATTTTCTTGTCTAGTGGCACACTGTAGTACAGTAAGGTTAACCATAGATGGGCACACAATTGGAACATTTAGGGAGACTACTCTTCCCAACAGTAGTAGTACCAGAATCCAAGGAGGAGTGAAGCTTTGTACACATGATTATAATCTTGGAAAAGGAAAGGTCAGTCAAATCTGGATGATGTCCACAAACGCAAGCAATGCAGTGGGCCACCATATCGGGTAATTTATTGTTACGGTTGGTACATTGTTGTAAATCTCCCATACTATTTTTTTTTCCTGTTTTTTACAGTGCTTTAGGTTATTGGAAAAGCAAACCTAACATCAACTTTTAATCTGCTTGGTGGCTATGAGCAGCACAGATGGTGCTTATATAATTACACTTATATGCAAGGCCCAGTATATTTGTTTTTTTGCATTGTCCCTTAAATGACTTATAACATTCTATTGCTGTTTTATCTAACAGTGCCTGTGCATAGAGGCTTTAACTTTTTCTTTGCTCCCTCTCTTACATGAGATTGTAAAAATTGACTTTAACTACACTGCAATCACTGTGCAGAGAAAGTCTGCCTGAATGCAATATCATTCCTCCTTTCCTAGATAGCTTGAATTTTTTTTTCTATTGGCTGACATTAGTCACTATAAAATACCTCCAGCTCATCAGGGACGGAGAGAAGATGTCATTGTAGACAAGCAGACTTTCCGGTATAAAGGCATTGCAGATATGTCCATTTTTACTGCTGCTATCTAGGGATTGTTAGAGAGATGGGATATGAGAGAGGGAGCTAAAGAGCTGAGAAGAGTGTCTATGCACAGTTACTGCTTTATGGGATACCAAAATGAATGGCATGGGTCACTGTAAATGTTCAAGTCCCATTTTTAAGGCCCATTTACACCTGAGCGCAATTGGCTACAGCATGCTCTATTTGTATGTTGGGGGGCACTTCATTAGGCAGCATGTTCAAAATATATGTTGTGTACCTCAACACAAAAAAAGTGTAAAGCATGCTGTATTTTTTGCAGCGCGGATGTGGCGCTCCAATGCACAAGCATGTGCACGCTGCATTGCAGTAATGCACGCATTTCACAATACATGACAACAATGTGCTGGTGTGAAAGTGTCCTTGGTTGTATTTGAAAGTTTCAATCTGACTGGTGAATGTAGGCATCTCAAATGCCTCTTCTTTATTATTAAAGATACTTTTTATAAGAACTATTGGGCCTTTTGAATAATGGTTTGAAAAGGGACAATTTTTGTTCTGTATAGCAACCATCCCCGGAAACATAACATGGACAATTTGGATGTTATAAGTAACAATTTGTCATGTAGATAAGTTGTATGTCCAAGAGGAGGCATATAAAATTAACAGACTAGAAACTGAGCAGCGACGGTGCTTCACTTAAACTACAACATTTTAATGTTTGATCTTACAAAGTATAAAATACCAGATACATACTGACTGCAGACATCAGATTTTCAGTCTGTACTAGTTCTATTGATGACTTCTTCTGTATGCTATTCATCTGTTACATCGGTTGTGTTTTCATTTAGTGTTTTGTAAAATGCACTTTTTCCAGCAGTCTACAAGTTCACACAACCAAACATTTCAGTTACGGATATCTGTAGGCATGTAGCAGTATTGTTTTAAGTCTGTTATTTCTGGTTATCTGTTACTCTGCTATATTATCGTATTACTTTTTTTATTAAAGGAGAACTATGAGATGAGTGATTTCCACTCACCTCATAGTTCTAGCCGACCTGTGACAATGAGACTGTCACAGGTCGGCTCAGTAGATCGGGAGGTGAGCGAACACATACCGGGTTCGCTCACCTCTCGATCCTGTCACGGCTCTCTGCCGTGACAGGGGGAGGGGCTGGATTCCCCTCTCCCCGCTCCGATCTGCCAGCGCTGACTGGCGGAACGGACGGGGGAGGGGGCGGGTACAGCTGGCTCTGCCTCTAGGTAGGCAGAGCCAGCTGTCACTCACGCAGCTGGGCGGATCCCGTCATCTAAGTCGGGATCCGCTCCAGGTGCGGCGTCTCAGTATACCGCGAGCTGTAGCTCGCGGTATACTGAGCTTAGGGTAACGGGAGGACACTAGTTTGTGTCCTCCCGTTACCCCAAGGAGAACTATGGGGAAAAACACTGACCCCATAGTTCTCCTTTAAAGTATGGGGATAGCATATCCATGTACAACAGATTAGGCGACAATCTATTTTAGCCTAGGATTGTGTAAATGGAATTCTGTTATTGTTTCTTATAAAAAATGTTTTTTTTTCCTTTTTGTTACTGTATGTTTAGCATTTGACATCATTTGTTTTCTTTTACTTGTAATGATTAAAATATAAATTATTTTGCTACACCTTGTATTTTCTGAGTGGTATTAAAGAACCAAAAGGGTTATTAATGATTAGAGAAATTGTCATTTTGGACTTGTGAGTCATGCAGTTGCATTGTAGTTTTGCTGAACTGCTGCATGGGGAAATGATTAAATACTTGTTTTGCTTATTTAGGGGAATTTAAAATGGATCTCAACCTTACTCCAACTTATTAGGCAAACACTCTTTTGGTTGGCACGTTATGTATTCAGACAGAGCCACTGATTGGCTTCCTCTGGCTGAACATTGTCATTTCAAAGCACCCACATTTCATGCAACAACTTTACTTGGATGTCAGCAGCTGATCGAAGAAGTTCATATTATAATGCCTTCTGTTCAGAATAGGGTTTGCTTGAAGGGGGTGTGGTTTTTGCACCTTTACATGCATTATGGTAAGGTGTAGGGTTTTTTTTGGCACCTTAACATGCATTGCTCTAAGATGGCCTATTGATTTTGCCCAGAATCCATAAAAAGAAAACATGCATCTTTCCTCCTATGTAGCATGCCACAGTGTGAAGTTGCATCACGTCTGCATTGTGGTGCACCGGTAAGTTGTAGCAGGGTATCTTTCAAAATGAATAGTAGCAGTGTAGTGTGTCATGCCTTGTGGCAGCACATATCTTCACACACAAATGTTGATATAGACTTAACACTTTTAAGTACATCTCTGCAATAAATGCACATTTCCAAGTTTTGTCTTCTAAAAAAAATGTGCAGGTACAGAAACATACCTGTTGATCCTGCCAGAAGTCCAGTGAGCTCATAACTTCCTGTGCTATCTGCCTCTGCTGCACCCTGTCACTGAGTATTATCAGCCTTACACAGTTCTTTTATGTGGCGAGTCACTACACACAGTCCGGCTTCCTGATTGGCCGGGAAGCCAGCTCCATGCTTCCTCCTCACCAGGGAAGCATGGCGCGAGTCATTACCTGCCCCCGGCTTCTTGATTGGCCAGAAAGCCAACTCCATGCTTCCTCGTCACCAGTTGATGATGGAGCTGGCTTCCCATCTAATCACCCAACACTGATACTGGAAGTCCTGTTGAGGAAGCTGGGGGGCATGTAATGACTCGCCACCCGACTTCCTTAATTGGAATTCCAGAATTGGTACTCGGTATCGGCGAGTACCGAAGAAACAAATATAGGTACCGAAAAACCTGTATCGCTGCATCCCTACATCATACCTTCTCTCCAATTTGTGTAGCTTTTACATTTTTTTTATTGTTGGGTTAGATTTACTTTAATGTAAAATGCACTTCTGTCCACATCTGCTGTCTGCACGCCGCTTACAAAACGCAATAGGAGACTGTTACCAGTTTATCTCTGTGGACTGA